TGTGCCTTCATGCATTGTTTCCTTTCTTACAGGTGGCAAAAATGAAATTATTTATAGTTTCATAATATATACAACCTTATTCTGGAAAAAAAAAAACTCATAAAAACCCACACCAAAAATCTGAAATGAACAAACAGAAATTAAAAAAAAGCATGAAAGAGAAAAAAATAATTCTGAAAGAAAATTACAAATTAATTGGATTTCTAATGACTATAATAAAATTCAACACTTTTAGATCAAAAAAGAAATTATCTTATTCATAAAAAGTATTAGGTAAGAATAAAAAAAAAGGCTTCATAAGACTCACAAATGAATAAAGTGATATTTCCAGCTTCAGTAAATAACACCTTAACTTTCTAAGAGAACAGATCTAATGAGAGATTATCGTTTTAGAATAGAGTTTGAAAAGCGCTGAATATCTTTTTTAAAAAAAAGGTGTTCATAATTATTCACAACCAGTAACTCTTCCTATAACATATCACACTATAATGTGCATCTGATATGCCAAAGAAACAAAAAACTAATTTTAAGATGGTCATAACACTTAAATACATACAACCTTTAAAAACACTATAGATAGATGCCACTTTTCAATCCAATCATCAAATTGCCAATTTCCATGCAACATTTGAGCACACTTTCTAAAACACCTAGTACTTGTAATTCCTCCGTACAGATCATTAAAATATTACACCTTATGCTTCCTGTCACAGCATATTTCTAACTGCAGTGTAAAATCAGACATTATTCTCTGTTGATATAATTCCAGTTCTCTTGAGAGCATTACATCAACATATTTATTCCCTCCTGTACACAATTAAAAATCTACTAAAGGACAGAGAATAGCATATTTAAATCATGATTTTCAATACTGAAAACCTCAACTTAAATTTTTCAGTCTATACTTAGCCACATTTACTACCAACAGGTGCCTGACATTTTTCAAAGTGAATCTGCCTATTTTGGACCCCAAAGATGGACTTCAGAGTCTACATTTTGAAAAGAATATCTTTATTTTCTACTTCTGTTTAGCCTAGTATAGTTCTGTAATTCAATTATAAAATTGCAATTAATACAACAAATCATTGCTTGTGAGAGTACTTAGATCAAATTATACCTTAGTAAACATTTTCCTTTCAGTATGTAAAATACTTGTCATACACCTTTAGCACACTACATAAGAATTTATAAATGCTGCTTCAAGACTGGAAATTATTTAATATTATATCAATTTGGAATTAGTTTAATTACTCCCCCAAAATTGGTGCAAAGTGAAACAAACAATCCATCTCTCCCTTTCCCTTTCTTAAAGCAATAATAGAAAAACTACAACAAAGTGAGGTGCAGCAGCTAATTGGAAATCTGAGTATAGGTCACTTATTCATATACAGAATGTTTGCTTCAGAGCTAGAGGGTGAGATCTGACTAATTTTTTTCATCAAGTTTGAAAAATATCAAGCAACGGATTAATAGATTTTCATACACTAAAGCTTGGTGTATTCACAGGGACCAAAAAAGTTAAATTCTTTATAGTATATTATTATTATTACTACTACTACTATTACTTAAAGAGCAACATACAGGAAATGAGTTAACTCATTTACCTGGCTGTGTCCCTCACTAAATTACGAGGGGTGAACCAGAGTTCTGAATGCCACTGATATTCTTCTTGGCATTGATTCACTTTACAGAGACTACAGAATGACTGCTGAAGTTTATAATGTAACCTAATAAAATTAAATGAATCTCTAATTTGAGATATGAAAAGCCGGTTAGGTAAGAAACAAATGAAGTGATTCTTTGGAGATCCCTACTGCAGTTCTGCCCTTTGCATTCAAAACGTAAGGCAGTCTTTAGCAAGTTGCAAGAAAACAAAATATTTTCCCCTGAACTTAGGTGACAGGAGTACTGCTCTGATTAGCACCTTCTGGAAAGCAACTGATGAAAAGAATAGTTTTGTTAAGAAAACAGTAAATTGTGGTGTCTGGAAAAATATGACTCACAGGCCAAAGTTACGATAGATGATTTGATGTATGTATGCCCAGAGGGGCTCCCTCAGAGCCCGGTAGAGAGCACCAGCTCTCAGGCCTAGGCTCAAAGCGGTAGCTACACTGCTATTAGACGTGCTCTCAAATCCAGCTTTGCTCATCTTCCACACTGTTTCTAGGCAGGAATGCCCAAGCTCTGGGGCTGGTGAATGGAGTTACCTCTGGACCTGCAACAGCCCAGACTCTGGTTCATGCAAACAGGACAGATCAGACCTGAGCAGGGGCACCAGCAGATGTTCCAGACTCAGTCCTTCACCAGCAAGAAAGATGCTTGGAGCTTGAGGCATAGCCATGCTGACAACCCGCAGTTTTGATGGAAACCTGTCAAGCATCTGGGGAGCCTGAACTTCCAAGCCACAGAGCTAAGAGCTTAGAGTATCTGGGGTAGATGCAGGGAATCTGCTCAAAAGCCACAGGGCTCGGGGACTAGGCAGGCCCTGCTGATAACGATGACGCACACAAGAATGGCAATCAGCAGCTTCAGGAGGGTATGTTCTTGCAAAAATACTATGTGTCTGCAAAATATTTCAAAAAAATGAAACTTCCAGGGAACTGAAAGCCTCAGTCTTTGGCCAGGCCTAGGCCTAATGTGCTGCTTCCCAGATATTACAAGCTCTCTTATTGCTTCTCCCTCTGTACGTTTTCTGTAGACCTATGACAATCCATGAGCACACCCCCACTCTTCTGCATGCAGAACATGCTCTTCAACCCTTTGGATGGGACATCACCTTTCAGATTAGAGTTTGTGTTCCTCAGAAATAAGGCAGGTAACTACATTCGCCCAGTCTTGTCTTAGGATAAGAATGAAACTTCACTGGAGTTGTGTGGCCACCAGGGAGCAACGTGGACATTTCCCTGCTCTGTTTTCCCACATGGTGTCTTATCTATTTGTATTGGCTGAAGATCTCAGTTGAGATCTGAATATTGCCATCCTAAAAGCTGTAAGAGAGCAGGAGAACAAGGCAACTGCTGCCATGCCCTGCAGATCAGCTGGCCGCAAGGGAAGGATCGTTTCCTTGGCCCCTCCTCAGCACACCCAGGACAAAATCCAGAACTTTGCCTTGACATATCACCTGACAGGACCACAACTGCTCACTTGCACATATGCCACACATGAAGAAGATACTGTGCTCTATCTTCTTCATTTAGATTACTATACTTGTGACTGGAGATGTCAGATAACCTCCTCATTGTCAGGGCAATGCAAAGAGCCGAACTCATTCTGGGAGCTCCTGTGATTTAGCGAAATACCTGGACTAGTATTTTTTCTGTACATAGTTTTAAAGTTCTTCCGTGAATAAACTGCTACGATGTAATGTTAAGGCCATAAAATACCAAATTACAGAAGATAACCCACTATCCGTAAGATGTATATGATTAACTTCCATTACAGTCAGTGACAGTTACATTCATGTATCAAGAAGTAGCTACGTGTCTACTAAATATCTGATTATGCACAACAAATGAAAACATACTATGAAATTTATTGAACATGCTAGTAAGATATGGTACTATTTTCTCTTCCTTCTCTGGATAAAATGCAATACAACCATAAATCAGAAACAGATTTGGAAAATAACGAGCATTTTTATTCTCTTCTACAAGTCTGAAAATCAATCCTATACATATTGCTCACTAGTGGTATTACTTATATCCAAAACAATAACATCTTTACATACCCTTAATGAAAGAAAATACTTTTTAAAAAATTTTGAGAAATCATGTCTTTTATTTGTAAGTACAAAAAATAAATACTTCACTAAGGAATGGAAGAAAAAATAAAGCACATTTAAATAATTTCATTACATTGCAAGATGCCAATTCATCTGTGAGTGGTTTCTTTTTAGATGAAAAGAAATCAAAATATAGGACAGATGTTGGACAAACCACATTTGAGGGCTATCACACACTGGCATTTTTCAAATGATTTTGGCTCATCTATTAAATAAGGTGTATTTTGCTTGATTTTGAAAGGGAAACATCAGGAAATATTTAAAGGCCAATTGCTGCCAATTAACTTTGATCAGCAAAAGTTGCATTTGAATCTTTTAGATTCTTTTGCCTGTCTGGAATAACACACATTTCTAAAATCTAGCAAAACAACAACTTGATGATTAATGTGTGTTGGCAGCCCCACCACAAGCTTGCTTAACAGTTGGATTTTAAATAAACAGCTGTCTTCATTACGATGGGAAAGAAATCTGACTGTTTTCATGTTTTCTTGCTATTAAAATATGATCAGAAATTGCTTTTTCCCTTTAAAGATGAAACAGCCAGGCATTATGGTGACAGCCTGTTTCAGCGGTTCAGATAGTTTTAGAACGATCTCACAAGAGTCGCCAAGCCAGAGTCGGTGTAGGCTGAGAAAGCCCTTGGCATGCCGACACCAGTGACTCACAGCATGCCGCAGGAGGGAGGCAGGAGTGACACAGAAACCCAAGCACATAACAAATTGTACCTGCCACTGGGGAAGGCACAAGACCCAGTGTAATAAGCCACTGAGACTGACAGCATATACAGCATTAACGATTTCCCTCGGGTTTAAGGCAATACTTCCCCACAGTGGGACGTCAGTGAGAAATCTGTACCCAGCCATTAACTGTTTATAGAAGCTGAAGTTTAATATTTAATGGCCTGTACAGACTACTGAGTTCTAACGCTTATAGATGGGCTTGGTGTATCCACTTCTGCAACTTGTCTACTGTGGTCATAAATACAAAGACCTGGGAGGACAAAAAGCTACCGTTAAACTATTGTAACCTTTGAATGCCAGTGCAGACGTGTAAGGTAGACATTATTATATATTTTAATGACTAAATTATACGGAGCTTTTTTCTAACATTTCCATACTAAAACAACAAAACCAATAATAATTTTCAAACTATCTGATAACTCTTAATGAAATATAAATGTTAAATAACCGTTATGTGCTTTAGAATAATGAACACTTACTTCCAAATCATTAAAGAATAGGTGCGTGTCTGCCAAATTGAAAATCATCTCTTCCATTCGCAGTCCAAGGGAAACTGAAGTGGGTGGATCCTTAAAGAAGAAATTAAAACAGTACACCATCACTACCACTCATAACGTATACACCAGAATATACACTACAGGAACTATTTTTCAGGAGGGATTATTTCATGTGTTAAATGTAACATCCACACGTTTGGTTTAACTTCAGCTGTTCTCCAACCCTGTACTGAACCACTTACCAGTAACACTCTGAAATCTGACTTTAGCTTACACCATGAGTGTGCAGCTGGACCTCTGTGATCACTCATGTATCACGCACAGGTTTATGGCCCTCAATGTAGCACTGCAAAAAGGGAAGGATTCTACCAGCTGCAAACCCAATGCACCTAAAACTTCTTCAGATTTTACAACTGTTTACCAGTTTTATGACCAGCCAGGGGCATGATAATGGTATCGTTACTCAAAACAAACTCTCACTGGCCACAGTGAAAGGATTTGATCTTGGGAGTAGCTATGAACTTTAAAGAAAATCTCCATTAATATTTTATTTGCAAATCACAATTATATTTAAAATTACTCCTTGATTCTCCATAACTCCATGCTTTAATTACTCTTTCAGTTTGGCCCACCCACACCGAGTGAACAAATCTATTGTTTGTTATTAATACATAACACACTTTTAACTTCTCTACAGAAATTACCATAACAACTTATTCCTTACTGAGCTAATAAACTCAAAAAGCATGTTCAGCATTGTGGTTACCAAATGCATTACAGATGTTTGTCTTATTTTCATTTTTTTGTATGTTTTATATATTTTCAATTTGAAAATTTGAAAAGAAAGCCTAATATGTATATTTGATATACTTTTTCTCATTTACAATGCTAACTATATCCAAGGGCACAGAAGCATGAACTTGAAAGAACATGTTATATTATCTCACGACGCCCTCTACTAACAATGTTAGTTTGTTTGGAATTATATTTTAAATAGAACTGCAGAAGTGACAATCCATACTTTGCTTAAAATAAGTTAATATTCTAAAACCAATGACAACTCAAAGTTAAAAATAAAAGATGAAGTCCCCGCTTTCTCTTTCTGCCTTTCGGTCAAATTAATGGGTGTTTCAGCATGATCTCTGAACGTTCAAACATGTTTCTGTAACTACTGGTTAAAAAGCAAATCATAACAGTAGCAAACATTTGGAAAAGTGTGGCAATTTGTCAGCCGGTTTGTCTTCTTGAAATGCCCAAAACAAAGTGAAGCTAATCAGAAAAAGAATTTTGGAAAAAAGCATTTAGAAACAGAGCTACATAGCACAGGGAAAACATCTATTCTTGAACAGCCACATGTTAGGAGTCAAAAAGTTTTCTAGTATCAAAAAAATAGCCCTTAAATAGGACAGAAAAGGTGTGTCACACTATCTTGCTGATAATAAGGATTCTGCCCTTAAAAATAAGTCTTGTATTTAAACTGTTACCACCCAAAAAAGAGCATTCTAATTCAAATGGAAAGACTTTAAAATATGAACAAAAGTATTCTACCACTCCATTTTAATGTTGCTATATTTGCACACTTTATTTATTTTTTTTATTTTTGTAGGCAAGTGAGGTGGAAAGCAGGTGACATTTTCTCAGTAGAGACCAGAGGCTCCTTTTCCCTCTCACATTCCTGCACATCTTTGTTGCCGAGTTACAACCCCATCACTCTCCATATTTCATTAGTCATTTTTTAAACTGATGACGAGGATTTGTATTTCTCCCGAGCGCTAACAGAAGTCACCCAACAGAATTCTCAGCTCTAGTTATTAAAAGAAGTTAGACGATGGATGAGATGTCTAAGATGCGAATGAAGCTGGCTAGGTACATCTTGACTACTGACTTCTTCCATGACTTTATGGAAATAATTCCATTCCGATTTTCCATTCATAAATATGAACATTATCTTGAAAAACAGGACAGACTGGCAGTCAGAGCATGATCTTTGTTATGAATGTGTGGTTAATTTTAAACAAATGCCTGTAAATATATTTTAAGTTTCAATTTATGCAAGTTTTAAATTAAATATTTTACTAAACTTTTTAATCACACATTTGGGTCTGAAAAGATGGCTCTTTGTAATGCTTTCTGTAAACCATTTTAGTCACTTGTTTTTTAAATGGCAGACAAAACAGAATGAGGATTTCTCAAAATAATATTAAAAGAATGTCATTTGCTGGGTTAATTTAATTAGGAGAAAAACAAATAAGAAAATCATTCGCACCTACTGAAAATGTCAGATTAAATGCCATAAAATCTAAGAGAAGACACAAAACAGGTTTCTTTTCAAATAAACCTTATTTTCTTCAATAAATGCAACCTAGGGCAATAGAAAGTTCCACTTAGCATTAAAAATGTGTTAAAATGAAGCTCTGGATACTCACATATTTACCGGAGGCAAAAGCCTTATCTACATTAGGATTTTAAATGTCTATGTAGTTATAATCTTGCCCCAGTAAAACGCAAAATCTACAATTCAGTGGCTTTAGGCACTGCAGTAGAGCAAACTGATGTCAATCATTACAGTGGTGGCTAAAAATCTTAATGAAGACAAGGCTAGAATACGGTTAAAAAAAAAAAATCCCATGCCAAGCCTTCTTTTGCAATTTTAAGCCACTAATTGCTAACTAATTATTGTGAGGTGTCACACAATGCAAAGGAAAGCTAACAATCTGTTCTTGTTTATTAGGATTTGCAGGTTCAACCAGAGTGTCTTTTCAGGTATGGCCAAAATCAGGTACAAATCTCTGAGGGAGGTACAGTTTAACTAAAGAAAAGAAATACCAGTGTCAAACCGCTTAAGCAGGCCTCTTATTTTGAATACTGGTATTGGAGCCAAAACATTGTCTGTATGTCATTTCTAAATTCTACCCACTTGATTTCATTGTTTTGTGGAGAAACAAGAAGCTGAAAAACAGGAAAGTTCACTTTGGGTACAAGGCTTATTTTCCACTTAAGCCTACAGGTCACAAATGAAGGGTTAAGTGAAATCAGACTTTGTTTTTCTCAATCTCTTACATATAATAAATCATGTTAAAACAGCTTATAATCTAAAGGAAAATTCCTTTAAAGCATCTGAATATAAATGTTTTCATGGAGAATGGAAATTCATAAGACCACAGTACTCTAGTGCCAATACTAAGACATATTTCTACCTGCTTCAGGATATCAACACTAAACAAGGTCTCAACTTTTTCCAAATTTCAAAATGTAATGAGTAGGCATCTGGCTCAAAATATAGGTTTTTTTAAGTGTCTAAAGCACTAATGTCAATTAAAGTATCTGATAACTTGAAGTATTTGGTTGACAGATCTCTCTCTCTACATACATTAAAAAATGTTTCCGAAAGCTAATAGAAATGCTGTTCCCATTTTTTTCCTGGAAGTACAACACCATATTTCTATAGTAGATGATTCATTTCCATGACATTCACAACATTCAAATCAGCTGCAAATAAAAATGTAGCAGTTTATACTCTAACCAAACCGAAAAATAAGGGCGTTATTTTGTTCAACCCCGCTGACTGACAAAAGGAGGGAGAAAACAACACAATAGCAGGAAAAAGAAAGCAGGTGATAAAAACGGACAAAAGAAGGAAGAATATACAGAAAACAGTGGCAAAAATGAGAAGTTAGGAGAAACGAGGGAGAGAATAAGGAAAAGAAAATCTATCCCTTCAGCAATAAGGCTGCTCATCATTCATAGTCATTCACCAAGAAACTCTTTCAGGCTTTATAAAAAGGATTGAATGCCAAGCTGCCAAATCCCCACTATTTAATTAGGATATTTCTGTTTGTTTGAAGATTTGGCTTTTGTAATTTAATGATCATGTGAGCAGCTCAGGTTTCATTTTTAAAAGTGCATTTCTAACTCTTGTCGTAGTAGAGAAACAGAGGAAAATGTCATGTTAGATAGCTCGAAAAGCAGAAGACAGGCGAAAACAAACAAAATTTCCTTCAACAATTTTTGCTCCTTTTCAGATTGGCTTACGATTTAGGACTTCTAACTTTAAAGGACAGAGATCAATAGGAAACTCTCTTTAAAGAACTGTGCATCTCCCGTTGCTGCAGATAAACCCTAGAATTCCTATAGGACAGATACAGGTGGTTTTAGTATGTTTACTTAGTACAGTTGACACCATTTTGCTCCGATGACTACGGATATTGCTAACTATTGTCTGAAGCTGCCAATAAGGCAGGAGAAATTGTGATCTGAATGACACTTTAAGGAAACAAAGCAAGAACGGCACATTTTCCTGACTAACTCTGGAAGATAAGGACGGGTACGTTTCTACCTCTATCGGAAAAGACCTAACATCTATTCGCGGCGCTTCATGCATTCACTCCCAACGCAGGCAGTCGTCCCTTCTAGCACGAAGCACTTTTTTTTGTTACCACAGGTGACGCCCAGTATCCCTGCGTTACATAAATTCATTTTGCAGCGCGGCAACAAGACTCCGTTGTCGTTGCGCAAACGCAGAAGTATTCAGTCACGTGCAGCACAAGCGGAGGCAGCTGGGCTGTACTTGTGCACCTCAAGTACACCGCCTCGACAGCGATGGGGCTGCAAGCAGGACTCTGCCTCAGCCTCACGTAGCCAGCGAAAAAGGTGCTTATGTTCAGGCCCCAGTTAATGGAAACACTATAGGGAACTAGTAACAAACGAAAAAAACATGCTGGCACAAACACTTCTCGGCAAGGACTAATTGCACGTGTCCAGCACTGCTCTGCTGCCCAAGGCAAGGGGTGAGTTTCTGTTGGCGTTGAATTGCTCAGGAGGACTGGCACTTGTTCTCCTCATTCTGAACTGAATTGAAATATCAGATTTTGGGGTGCTCTGCAAAAGCTCTTCTTGGAAGAAGTTTGTGATACATCCGTAAAAGTTTGAGAGACGGAAACAAAAATTGAATTAAACATTGTAACGTTTCATACCTTATAATGCTGCTTGCCTGTTTGTTTTCATACCATAACCAAAACATCTGACGTTTTAGTGTCTTTTTAACTATCTAAAAATAAACCAGTAACACTAAGAGACCAGGGATCCTGCATTAACTTGCTATTTCTACACAAAATGAAAATGAAAACACTAATTATATTCCTCAAACAGGTAAACTGCTATTACAACAAACACTTCCGAAAATGCACTACGCTGCCTGAAAGGAGCAAGAAAAGGTACTGCTTAAGATTTTTACAGTGCAATGAAGTATTAGGAGGAATTCAAATCCTGACCCAGTCAGGAACTGTATCAGCAGCAGCTTTGCCCTTCGCTCAGCTTAGCGCAGGTTCAAACCTTTCAATAAATATAATTCTTATCTGTTTATCACTTATAATAAGAATTTTTGAATTAAAAACAATTCTAGTTTATACCTCATGTGACACGAATTTTGAAATGGCAGAACATTAGCTTTTAGGCTCAGACATTAGCTTTCAAAAACACGACCCCCCAAAAAAGCAAGAGTTGATCTCACTAGGGCATTCCAATCACAGACTGGTTTTATTTACCTAAAATTGTGTTTCTCATCTGAGAAGTACCTAGAAAAGCCCAGTCTACAGACATGTTCATAAGTTCAGTTATAATTTAAAGACTGTGCATAGCAGAAAGATGCAACACATAAGCAGGCTTTTAAAACCATCAAGCAATAGGAAGATTAAAAAAAGATGAGGACAAAAATGTTGGACTAATCTGTCTTTGTCCAGAAATATCTTCTCGTCTTAACACACAGTATTCCAGTACCGAGCCCTAGAATTAAAATGGTATTTTAGAGCTCACTCCTGAAAGTTCTTCACTTTTGGAGAGGAGCCAAGCCTTGGCAGACTTTGGGTGATATCAACAGGTTTCACAGGCACTCTGCACCTACCTACAAACAAAACCTCAAGTGATCAAAGTATTACTCCCAATGCTATTTAATTATTTATTGCATATAGGAGCTGAGCAAATGCAAAAAATGGAAATATGAAAAGGCTTAACTCTTTGATCTTCTTATGTCTGGAAATAGTACTTCTAGTACACTAGTACTTCTCTGGAAAATTAGCTAATGCTTTGCTCTTTCTGTAAAACAGTAAATATTACTGCAAATTAATGCCAGTTTCTTGACACTTACCCTTCCATATCTGTTAGCATAGGACCCTGTAAGCAAGGAATGGAAAATGATGATTGTCTCATCCAAATCCCAAATGAATACTCTCTGTAAAAAGAGAACCAAATCAATGTGTTCCTCGGTGAACTGATACTTGAAATGGAAAGTTTAGACTTGAATCAGTAAGTGCACAAATAACAAAATTGTATTGAAAGGGTTATATATTAAAACCATCGTTTCCTTGCCATTTTTTTTCAGAACTAACAAGTTTTTTTCCAGAATAGGGTAATACAATCTGTTAGATTTCTGTTACAACTGCTATTATATTGAATTATTCTATTAGAATAAAATTATAGTTATTGTCAAATACACACAGAAAATGCTATTGTACAATATATTATTCTAAAGCCAGATGTGAGATAAAAACTGAAATATATGAAGAAAAGCCTTTCAAAATTAAATCTTCTGGGTTTGAATTTTGTCTTTCTGCAAGACTTATAAAACAAAGTTCATATAACTCTTCCTAGAAATGACCTCTAAAAACAAGTAAAGTAGTAAATTCCTGCTAAGCACTTAAATCCCCTTAACCTGGGCTCATTTTGAATGGGATTTAGGCACCTGAAGGACGTAAATGGTGAATTTAGATGCTGCATACGTAAGAACTTATGGCAACGGTAAATAATTCCTTCACTTATACCCGGCTGGAAAATATGTATGTTTTAAATTTGTCCTCTGACCACACACAAAATGATATTTTAATGAAAAATAAAGTGTTCAAATACAAGTATTTTAAATCCTGGTGGGATTGTATTTCCCATGATGACTAATGGACTAAGCTTTTGGAAAGGAAAAGTAATGCAGTGTGGACATTCATAGCTGTGGTGTGTCATTGGAGATGTGTGTTCTGAACATAAAGTATGGTCCACAGAGTGGAATGTGAACGTAGCATGAGTGAACAAAAACCGCTATTGTGCTATAAGTGTCTCCTGTCCAAACTCAAACCCTTCTTTGGTTTAGGAAAAGCTTTCTTTGTTGTCAGAAGGAAAAAAAAAACCCACTATTTTTCAGAGAAAGTAAGTCCTCTTCATGAGAAAGGTTGCTTAGGTGAAAAATTCAGTCTTTCAGGAAAAAACAGGAAAAAACTGAGTTAGCTCTAATGCCATTAGATTTTTGATTTCTATGCAAAACTTTTCTCTGCAAAATAATGGTAAAATTAGAGTATGGAACAAGTGAAAGACATCTAATATAATATACCTCTAGGTCTGAATCAGGTGGTGGTGAAGGATTATTGTTTCTTCTGCCACGTCCACGTGATTTCCCATCTGAGCTACGACGCAATCTATCTGAATCCGAATCTTTAACGGGGGTTGATGGACTGTGGATTGTACTGTACTCTGCTGTAGTAAAGAAATGACATTTTTAATCTTTCAGTTTAAACTTCAAAATGTTCAGCTCACTTGCTTTTTAGATGAGGCATTAAAAATAGGATGCTCACTAAAAAATCCTAACTTTTTATTTAATAATTAAATATATAATTGCTAAATGGCAATACTAGTAAATTAATTAATTCAATCAAGTACAGGTCACGTGTAATCACAGAGAATAATTTATTTCAATCAGCAAGCAAAAAATGAATCCATAACTTCTTCATTCCTCCAAATCATAGAAAAGATCTTATCTCTTTGTGTTTTTAAACCTCAAATTAACCATTTTATGGGATATTAATTCAGAATACTTTTAAGCTACACTCATTTCATTCTAAGTCAAGTTTACAAAACCTCACCTTAAGATGATCATCACAGTGACTGGTAAGAAAAAAAAAATGTCCAGGTGTGAAAAATAAAATATAGAAAGTTGAAAATTAAACCTCTGAAAACTTTTCTAAATTGCTTGGTCACGGGCATTCATTTTCACATGACTTTTTTAGCCAGCTGAATAGAATTCTTTCCAAATAAGGCTTGAAGTAGAGTTCTTATTTTCTTAGGATAGGTTCAGTTAAGAATTTAAATCTCATCTCTATAATTGATGCTTATTTCAAAAGAATTTTTCAAAGGCCTGCTCAACACTCCAAGCTAAGATACAGCTATTTATAAACAACAAATTACACTATTGTGCCTCAGCAAAATGTATTTACAAAAATATTTATTGGTGTTGAATATGTAAAAAGGAACAATGATTTCTATGTACAAGAACAATGTTTTCCTGAAAACATGCTAGCTCAAAGACATTTTTCTATTCTTAACATCTATAGACTCAGTTAACAGTGACAGGACTGAACATTAACAAAGGAGGTATCCATAGCAAGCTATCCTTCCTAACTCATTTCAGGACATGTGATGTGCCCCTCCAAAAAGCAACAACATGTTTTTTAAAGTTCTCTTCAAGATTTCCTTTCACAGCCTTGAGTGTCCAGAGAAAAGACTTTCTTTTGCTTTCATGGTTACTATTGCAATTTTTCCTAAAAAAAGATTGTTTTGGTGAAGGTCACAGGCATTTTCTGCATACAGCATGTTTATCAACTTCATTTCTCAGTTGATATGAATTACTCCTTAGAGTTCAATAAATGCTGATATTATTGATGCTAATTTACTTTTTAAAGTAATCTAGGCCATGGTGTTCCAGTTTGAACACAATTCTCGCATAAGTTATCCTTTCTTCTAAAATGCATCCTGTTGAGGTCAAAGGGTAGATTAAGGCTGACACCAGGAGATTTTGGACATCTGTGTAACACCATTTATTCAGAATTTCTCTCAAAATAATAAGGATTGCTTGTGCTGAAAATTAAAAGAATTAAAAAAAAAAGTCTTGAAGTTCTCATATTTGATCTTCAAACCTACACTTAACTAAAATGATTATTTTTTTTCCCCTATATATCTCAGGTTACATTAAACAAAGCAGAATAACTAATTACTATGTAACACCATGTAAAAAAAGAGTCTTCAAAAGAGACTCAACCTGTACCTAAAAGAATGTTTTTGTGCACATGCTGAACAGCAAAAACATTCAGCTGTCTCAGTCTACACAACTACAGACAGAAGAGATTTAAATAAAAACTTAGAAGCCATTGTAAGAAACTGTTATTTAAACTTAAAAGATCACACACATTCTAACATCATGTACACATAGATTTTCCACGATAACATACACTCCAAGATAATTAAATACTTGAAACACCGTACTGAAGTGTAAGTAAGAAATCTTAATTCAACTAGTACACATTTTGCAACCCTTGAAACTTAAATGAGTTTCTTAACTGCTGTATGTTACTTTTATTACTTAGCCCTTAAAGAAAAGAAAGAAAACAATACCCAAAAGCTCTGATATAAGTTATAACCTTGTAGAACAAGCAGGCCAAAATTTGTTCAATAGGTAAATTGGCCGATAGTTTTCTAAATATGTGCTCTAAAATTCTGACGTAACAGACGATTGCATTTCCTACTGACTAACTGAAATGAGAGGTGATCCTGGTTTCTGAGAGTATTTTCAGGTGTGTAGCTTTAGATCTCCAATTTTGAAAGTCTTCTCACAGAGATGAGATGCCTAAAGTTTTAAGTATTGAATTTAGGTTTAGTAGTAACAATACAAAATTAAGCAGGAAATGGATAGCATAGAAAAAATATAAATAAAACTTTATTACAAATAGAAACAAGTAAACCTAAGTAAGCGAGCATATACAGCAGTGCAGTGAGTGCAGGGAAGAAAGCCTATTTAAAAGAAACATGCAGCTTTCCACCTTCACAAAGAATTTCATTTCAGTATATTGCACTCAAAATTTCCAACACTTGGCTGTAATTTTGGAGTCATTTCCATCTCCCCTTTGCAGGCACAAATGACCAGGCGAGCTCCTCACTTGCTGCAACCATTCACAAGTCTGCCTGGCGACCTCAGCTTGGCTGGGCACACAAGGTCAACTAGTCCTCCTTTTTGGGCTAGCTGTACTCACATCGTTTCCCATAGAGATTTGGCTAACTTGTTCTTACAAGCAATCTACCTACCTCCAGGCAATCTATTCTGCTGCTTTAATAGCCATACCATTAGAAAGAAGGTAGGCAACCTCAGCCATCCTTGTTGCAATTTAAGTTCAGTCGATGAAAGCAGAGAAAAAATGATTCCCGTCACTGTATTTGTATGCATCTGAAGGTTGTTATCATATCCCCTTTGTTATTAGGTTAAGCAAGCCCAAACTTTCCTCAACAATCCGTATTTTTAAGCTATTATTGCTCTCTACAGTCTTTCCAAACTGGATACGGTAATCCAAAGCAAGCTGTTGAGTAGAAGAAAACTTTACTTCAGGTGCCTCGCAGGCTACCCTCGCCTGGGTACCGCTTGGTAGGGGGCATTTTCCTTTTCTGCAGCATTTTCTTTAAATATTCATGCAAGGACCCCTAGATCATCTTCTGAAGAAGTATCACCTAACTGGTTGCTTCTCAAAGATTAAATGCTAATTTAAGCTATAAGATATGAAGGCTAGCCATTTCAGCTGTAGAACTACCAGGGCGGAGGGCTTTCAGTCTACTAAAAGAATAATGGAAACCTATACAGGCACCTATGAAGTTTGCTGAGGAAACAAGGAGATGGCCAAATATTGCATATGAAGTGAACATACAATGCTACTAATAGCTAGAGCTTCTGAGCGTACTTTGGAGAGAGTTACAGCAATCAGTCCGTTAGAGATGGCAGTAATCAATGGTCGAACATGTGATATAGTGTATAAGAAACATATTCTATGTATGTAAAGAGAAACCGTAGCATGTATTCTTTGCATTGAGGTTGTATGACAGTCAAGCCAGTTGCTATCAGGTCCTCATAAGGAACCCCCAATCTACAAACATCCAGTATCCAACCGAGCTTTGATCCTGGATAAGCCCAAGTCTCATCCCTGATAAATTCTGGAGCAAGAAAAACAGTGGGTGAGGGTACTTGGTGTGGCATTAATATTTGGAGTACTGAGAGTGGTTTGCAGGGAAAGGTAGAGTCTGGAAGGAGCTGCCAACATTCCTCATCCCACATTTGTGCAGTTCATCATTCCTGCCTAAATGTATATCTCACACCTGCTTCTGTTCAGATCACATCTCCATTTTTTGAGTTCTCATTCTGTCTCCAGAGAACTTGCAGTCCCTCTCAGCATGGTGTCATCTACATATTTAATAGGCAAACACATTCTGTTCCGTCACTTAAATGATTAATGAAAATGTGGTCTGGTACCAGGCCCAAGACAGACACTCAGGAATGTCACTGCAGCCATGCTTCTACTTTAACAGTGAGCTGTTACTGGCTACTCTCTGAATTTGGCTTCCTAGACAGCTTTGTATCGTTCTACTGTAATTTCTTCTAGAGCACTTTACCCTAGTTTGCTTAAAAGATTGTTAAGTGAAAAGGTATAATTCTCAGGGCAACAAGAGCCTTGCTGAAGTCACGCTATCTAGCCACAACATATGCTAGTGGTATACTCATTGTTTTCTATGTGCAAGGCTTGTCATACACGGATGTTAGTGTTCTACCTCAGCTGACTTCATAGTATCAGATATAGTGTAATATTAGCTAAGGAAAAGTATTACGTTTCTAAAGTATTAAATCAACTTTTATTCTATTCCTGAGCGTCGCAAACACAGAGAAGTGCAGGAGAAAACCCAACCATCTTGAAAATCTTGAGTGAAAAAGGTGGACAGGATCAGCTCTTTGCCATCTGTTCCAATATGAAACATACCACATCACCAAATGAAGCTAGCAGAAGCGAGGTCAAGCAAAAGACGGGGTTTCTTGCCAAAGAATGCTGGGTTCACAGTAGATGACACAGGTTCAAGAGGAGCATGGAGACATCCTCAGAAGGGACGCGTTCAGGGTTGCTATGGCCATGCCTGCAATAGCAGGTAGTGTGGCTGGTCTGTAGGACCAAACAAGTGCTGCCAACAACCGCAAGGCCGCATGCTGTGTGTTTCTGGGAGATCCTTTCAGCCTAGATCTAGTCTGACGGCCTCAGCACCCTTTTTAGCAGCTGGAGGAAGTAGGTGCTCTCCTAGAGGACATCATCCAGCTGAGGTCCTCTTGAAAGGCCCCTAGCCAGCTCTGCAACGCTCCACTGAGCCAAAGCACATGAAGCGGGACAGTCAGGAGATTCACTTCAAAGCAGACTCCTGGTCCAAATTAAATTCTAATGTAGGCACACCCTAAACAGATGAACAACGTGAGCTTAGGAAATCCCCTGAGAGGAAAATATCTGGAAGCTGGAAAAGTGCTTAGGGCAAGTCTTATATAAGCTCAGCCTGTCATCACTGCTCCTTGGGCACTACTCACAGCCACACTGTGGCAGCCAGGACAGGAGCCAGGTGGACCACTGGTCTGGATCACTACAGTCATTCCTGTGTGCTACCTATGACTTAGCAACGCTTATTCTTCT